AAGATGGGAGGCCTAAGGGATGAGATGGGGCGTCAGGCAGGGAAGATTGGCCTTCCCAGGTCAGGACTGCAGGCTTCTCCCCAGCCTCCCTCCCACAGACTCCAATACTTGAATGCCTGGTGTGTTGGCCACACCTCATCATCCCTTTTTGCACTGTTCAATTTCAGGCTTCACTGCCTCTCACCTGCACCACTGAGTCACTTGAATGCCACGTATCTTGACCGAGCACCCACTGTGCGTGTGTGTCAGGGAGCCGGGCCCTAGAGTGCAGCAGTGGGCGAGCCAGCCTCCTCCTGGAGAGAACACAATGCCAGGAGACCAAGGCCAGTGTGAAGTCTGGGGGATTGGGGAGGCCCAGGGGTCACAGGGGTCAGGAGGCATGCCAGGCAAGCAGGTGCAGCGTGTTCGAAGGTGTGGTGTGTGGTTAGTCCTGGGGTAAAGGGGCCCTCACCTGGACACATCAGAAAGTGGACTTTGCATTCAAACCATGGCTGGGCCACTGTTGGTTGCGTCCCCTCAGGGGGTCACGGGGTGAGCATGCCCGCGATCCCACCACCCGCCATAGCCCTGGGATGTGTTCAGGTGTTCTGGGGGCCTTTCGTCTTCTCAGCTATGTTTGATGACTGAGCTCGACCTTCATTCAGCTTGAATGGATAGCACCAAGACAATAGCATACATCGGGGCAAAGGGGGCATGCACATCAATGAAGCATTTTTTCAGTGTCCCATTGTAATTTTATTCATTGGAATAATATTGCTTGTATCGTGTCATATGTGCAGTTTTCTCTCCTCCCATTTTCACTTCGTTACATCATAACCATTTCTATGTTATCACTGAGTCCTCATAACTGTCATTTCAACGGCAACAGAAACTCCACTAATGGGTATGTTCTCCTTCTGTTCATCATCTGTGGCGTTCTGCATTTTGTTCACTGCTTATAATTAACACCAAACCAAACTCCTTTCCAAAACTTTTCCTCTTTAGATTATTTTCTTGGGATAAATTTCCAAGGATTTGATTAAGGTGAAAGAACACTCTCAAACATAAGGCTCTTTGCACATCGAGTCAAATCTTGTCCAATTCAAAGGGGCTGTGACAGTGTATAGCCCTGCCCAGCAGTGTTTAAAGGGCTGTTCCAACATGCCAGACAGCACTGGTTGTTTTGTTGTCTTGTTCATTTAGTGGGTATAAAGCAGACACCTACTGGAGTCATACCATGCACTTGTCTACACACACACACACACACACACACACACACACACACACACACACACACACACACACACACACGGAGTCCCAGGCCCCCAGGCAAAGCAAAGAGAGATAACTTGAAACAGCTCTTTAGATGGGGCACAGACGGAGTAGCCCGCCAGCCCACTCGGGACCTCTGTGCCGGCCCTGTACTCCCAGCTGCTGCTCATGTACACCATGCAGGCTGTGTGCTTAGAAGCACACATTGGGGAACTACTGGTGATTCCAAGGATTCTCAAGGGAAATTGTGACAATAAACAATTTTCCCAGCATCACTGGCTTCTTTTAAAATTGTGGTAAAATACACATAACATGAAATTTACGATCTTAACCATTTTTAAGTGTGCAGTTCAATTGCATTAAATACATTCACACTGTTGTGCAACCACCACCAGCATCCATCTCCAGAATTCTTTTTATCTTGCAGCACTGAAGCTCTCTGTGAATAAAAGTAACTCCCCATGCACCTCCTGCCCTGGGAGCCACCTTCTACTGTCTGTCTCTATGAACTTGACTACTCCAGGAGCTGCATGTAAGAGGAATCATACAGATTGGTCCTTTTGTGTCTGGCTTATTTCACTCAGCATTAGAGTCCTCAAGTTTCATTCACGTGGTAGCACATGTCAGAATGTCCTTCCTTTTTAAGGCTGAATAATAGCCCATTGTGTGTATCCATCACATTTTGTTATCCATTCATCTGTTGATGGACAGTTGAGTTGGCTTTTAAAAATTACCCCGATAGCTAGTGGGAAGCAGCCGCATAGCACAGGGAGATCAGCTCCGTGCTTTGTGACCACCTAGAGGGGTGGGATAGGGAGGGTGGGAGGGAGATGCAAGAGGAAGGAGATATGGGGATATATGGATATGTATAGCTTATTCACTTTGTTATAAAGCAGAAACTAACACACCATTGTAAAGCAATTATACTCCAATAAAGATGTTAAAAAAAAATTACCGTTGGACATCCAAACAATGGATTACTGTGGGACAGTTAAAAAATAAAAAGCATGAACGTGCTCTGTCCTGCCATGGGAAGATTTTCAAAATGTACTGTTAGTGAAAAGAGCACAGGAGAGTGTGTGCAATACACAACTTTTTGTGTAATAAAGAAAGGGGGAAATATATATATTTATATTTTCTTGTCCTTGTATACAGAAGGACAGAAAAATAGGTAAGAAATTAATAAAAGCAGTTACTATGGGAGAGGGTGAATGGGGGCCACTTCCGCAGCCCGTCTGTGTTCCCAGTAGGCTGGAGCCCCTGCTGAAGGGAGGAGGATGACGTCTGTGCCAGCGCACCTTCGGGGAGGGGTGGGAGGAATGTCAGGGCACTACTGTGGCTCTGACCGCACCCACCCTATCTCAAAGGAATACCCAGATGCAGGAAGTCATCATCCCCTCTCCCCTTGCCTGGGCACACCCTTCAGAGCCTCAGTGGTACAGTCTCTCTGCATGCCTTGGCTTGCTTATGTCTGCCTCCCCAACCCCTTGCCAGCTCTGAGAGGTCCTGTCCATCTGCAGCCACTCCATGCATGCACGCATGAATGCACGCATGAATCAGCAACAGCAGGAGACACCAGAGACTGCAGCAGGGGGCCAAGCCCATCCATCCACTGATAATCGGGCCAGAGCCCAGCTGGCAACAGGATGGGTGCTTGGAGGTGGGAGGGCAACATCAGCCACCCATGTGCTCTCTGGGCATCCCTGTGAGTCATAATGGTTCTGGCCCCCAGCTCCACACAACCCCTGACCTCCAGTGTAAACTTGCTGCTTCGGAACAGAGCTGGGTCCAAGCCCTGCCCCCTTCCTCGTGTGTCCAGCCCCCCACACCCGGCCCCCATACCAGGCCAGATCTGAGGTGCTCTGGATGCTTCCCAGCTCACCTCTTGAAGTTGTGGCATCCTGGCTTCCCCAGAAAGGCCCCTCTGCAGCCCCTCTCACATTGTCTGACAGACCACCCTGAGCTACAGAGAGGTTTCCAGAATCGCCTCCACCTCCACTACTGGCTCATCTTTGAGAAAACTGGGATCTGGGACAGGCTACAGGGAGGAGGTGCCAGGTGTCTGGCAGGAGAGAGCGGACCTTCCTGGCCTCAAGAGCTTTCTGTCTAGTGGAACTGGGCTCTGGTTCTGGGCTCTGGGTGTTCGGCAGAGGCAGCGCTCACCCCAGAGTTAACCACCATTCCCTTCAGGGCAGCCCCCGTGTGCCCTTATGTGCAGCAGCTTTCCCACTGGGATGGACAGGAGACAATTTTGTGAAATTTTAGTTTCATCAACTGAAAATTGAACACTTACAACTTTGCTGGAAAGGTGAAATACAGCTGTGGCTGTCCCTAGGGCTGGGACTGTCCAGGCCGCTGTTCAGACTGGTTCCCGCACCCTCCCTGCACCGTAACCCAGTCGCTGCATGCCCTAGGGACGGCCCTCTGCAGGGCTGCTTCTGATCCCCAACATCAGCTTGGACTCTCCAAGTCCCTCTGTCTTTACTTTCAGGGCCAGGTCACCAGGAGGCAGAAGTCAGAAACAGGCTGGGGCCAGGGTCTGCCATGGGGGCAGCAGGGGTGAGGTGAGAGGGGCAGTGGGGAGGCTGCTCCCTGTAAGGTCCCTGTGGTGAGCCTGCAGGACTCCACAGTTAAGGCTGCGGGGGCTGCTTGAATGTATGGAGAGATGGTTACATATGGGAGCTGGTTAAACATATGGGAGATGGTTAAACAGTCACAGGCTTGGTCAGGACTCACTGCCACAAGTGCCCCAAAGGCTTCGTTCAGGAAGACTGGCCAACAGGCATATGTGCAGAGCCCGAGGGAGGAAGCACTGTCCAGTGCACACTCGTGGACGGGTGCCTGCTGCAGGCCAGGACCTTGACTCAGTGCTGGGTCAGAAGATATGTGTGCTGTGGCCCCACCCGGAGGAGGTCTGGCTGGAGACCTTTCTCTATACCAGGCACCAGCAGCACCCCAAGCACTCCACAATGCTGACAGGGAGAATCTGCTGATGCCCACCGGAAGTCAGGCCCAGCCTTGAGGGGTTGCTGCAGGGAAACAGGGAAGGTCCCACCTAGGGGGAGTCACTTCAGCCACGTGCAGAGGGATGGAGGATTGAAGATGGTGGGAGAGCCTTCCTGCAAGGGGGGCATAGCTGGACAGGTCAGTGGGTCCTAATCACAAAGAGCCTGGACCGTCATTTGGCTGCACCTGAGAGAAACCCAAACAGACTCATGTGATGGAGCAGTCCACAGAGCAGCTTCTTCGGGCACAGCAGGATCCAGGGCCTCACCCACTGAACTCAGGAATGTGCTCGCTTTCCTGGCTCCTTGAGGGACAGGATGGTTCCAACCGTGCCATTCCACTGCTCAGGGACCCAGGGGAAAGAGCTTTCAAGTGCCACAGAAGTTCTAGGATTGCATCTGAGCCCTCTAGTTTGGATCAGGTCCACCCCCGACTCATTCTTGTGGCCAGCAGCAGGGCAAATACGTTGATTGTCTAAGCCTGGTCAGAAACAACCTTCACTGCGAGTAGGAGTGGATACTGGAAACAGTCAGTCCCTAAATGGCTAGGAATGATAATGGAAAAGAGATGATTCCTGGGGATGCAGTGGCTATGGGGTGGGGGGGATCCCTCCCTGGCAGCCCTCCCAGGAGGTGATCACTGGGCTCAGGTGGGCACAGAAGAGCCTATGGGAGGCAGGGCCTGCCCAGCCAGGATCCCGGGGGACCGGCAGGTCCAAATGCCCCTTGCCATTGCAGGTAGGCATGCCCCGGACACTGAGCACCTCCGACATGGTCACTCCAGGCAGCCTCGGCCCACCCCACCCTGAGCCCACGGATGGTGAGCAGGCCGGGCAGCCCCTCCTGGATGGAGCTCCATCCTCAGCCTCCCTGGACACCCTGATCGAGCAGCTGGTGCCCAAAGCTGACTACTACCCTGAGGTGGGTGATCCACCCAGTGGGGAGGAGGGGTAGCAGACTGGGCTCTCTTCCGCCAGGCATGGGGGAGACAGCAGAGCTGGGGCTGGCTGGGCCTGGGGGTGGAGTAGGCTGGGAGGCACGTCCTTCCATGCCCTTGTAATCACATGCTGCCTTTCTCCCGTATCCCCCCAGAAAGCCTACATCTTTACCTTCCTGCTGAGCTCCCGCCTCTTCATCGAGCCCCAGGAGCTCCTGGCCCGGGTCTGCCACTTGTGCATCGAGCAGCAGCAGTTGGACAAGCCAGTGCTGGACAAGGTGAGAGGCGGGGCAGGGCCGGGGGCCTCCGAGTGTACTGGGTCTCCCCTGACATGCACTTGTGAATCAACATCTTGGAGAGGCAGCAATTGCTCCCGTTCTCCTGACAAGGAGCCCACAGGGGTTTCTGACTTGTCTGAAGCCCAGAGCCAGAAGGGACAGAGTCAGAATCTTTAACCCCAGTGCTGTTTTCCAATGCCCGAGGGGAGCCTTGAGCTCACACAGCCCAAACCTGGGCCCCCAGAGCCCCAGGAGTAGATCCCCATCTGTGGCCTGGGATGGCCCTGCCGTGCCTGCTGGTCTCCCTGCCCCCAGCACCCTCTGTTCCACCCTTTCTTCTTCTGCGGGTCCACTGTTGGCTCAGCCTTCCCTCAGTTCCCCATATCCTTTCCTCAGTCCCTCGCCATATCCCATGGGCTACAACTGTCTATTTATACATGTGTCAGTAGGGTTCCGCTGTCCAGTGATAGAAACCCAGTTTCAACTGGCCTAAGGCAAAGGGACTTTACTGGCTCATATAACTGCAAAGTCTCAAGCTACCGCTGGCTCCAGGGACTAAAACACCATTAAAACGTGGTCTTTCTCCCTAAGACCCCTTGCTTTGTTTACCTCTGGCCAGCCTCACTCTGGCTCAGGCAGGTTCTCTGTATGGTGACTGATGGCCTCCGCGGCTCCAGGGTCATGGTCTACCCTTCCCAATCCTGTGGAAAGAGGATCCTGATAAATAAAAGCCCCGATCTCATTGGCTTAGCTTAGGCCACATGCCCCTCTGTGAGCCTATCACAGTGCATGATGGGGGTGTGTCATGCCCTGATTGGCCAGCACTGATCTGGACACACTCCTGGAGCCCTGGGTCAGGATCAGGTGGGAAAGATGGAGAGGGAGACCCCACAGGAAAACAGATGCTGTCACCACAGAAAGGGAGATGGGATGACTGGCAGTTACAAACAAGAGATAACCCCCATTCCAAATGTGTGTCTGTCCCCCTCTGCTTTGCTGTGGTCAGCCCCCATCCCCATGTCCCGTCTCTGTCTCATGGCACAAAGTAGGCACGAGGCCCACCCCGCCTCAGCCATTGCTGCTGCCCCTCGGACAGCCCAGACGCGCAGTAAGTGGCTGAGACAGTGGCTGCTGTGACCCCCACCTCCCAAGCAACCCTCACCAAATGCAGACGACCCTCGGATTGCCTTGCAGGCCCAGGTCCGGAAGTTTGGCCCCAAACTGCTCCAGTTGTTGGCCGAGTGGACAGAGACGTTCCCTCGGGACTTCCAGGAGGAGTCGACCATCAGTCACCTGAAGGATGTGGTGGGCCGCATCGCCCCCTGTGACGAGGTGGGCGAGCCAAGCGGGATTCTCTTCACTTGTCTACACCCTCACACCCCAGATCTGAGCCTGTTCCTGGGATGGCCTCAGGGTCCTCATCTCCCCACACTGCAGCCCCTCTAAAATCAGCCCCTTTCTGCCCCATCAGAGAATCAGGCACTGCAGAGCTGGCAGGGAGAGCAGGCCTCTGGTTCCAGGCCTGGTCTCTTGACCTTTCTCCTGTCCTGCTCTCATCAGTGGCATCAGATGGCAAGTGAAGGGCTCTTGTGGCTGCATGGTCGGGCCATAGGTCAATGACCCGTTAGGCTGGCCTGGCAGAACCCTCTTCCCCAGTAGCTTGGGAGGCAGCCAGTGTATTGGGCATCTGGTGCCTCTGCGCCCCACACCCTGCCCTGCTCTCCCAGCTGCATTACTCTGGGGAAGGCACTTAAAGGTGAAAGAGGAACAAAACTCCCTACTCCCTACCTCCCAGGATTAGGGTGAGAACACTGAGGGGGAGTGCATGTTGCTTGCCTTGGGAGGAGACTGAATGCGGCAAGCTGACAGCTAGTGACATGCCCCACAGTGGGTCTGAACACAGAGCCAGCCAGAGCCAAAGGAGAACTGCCAAGGCAGGTTGGGCACCAGGAAGCTGTAAAGTCCAAGGCTTAACTGAGGCTCAGAAAGGGATGCCCTGCCCTGAGGTCATTTCACATAGCCAGCAAGTTAGTTGTTATGAGAGCTCGGTGAGATGAGGGTCATCTCCTCCTCCTCCTTTGCATCCCCTGATCCATCTGGGGGTTATAACACTTGGCTTAGGTTGCAGCAGAAAGGAGACTCAGGGAAGGCTCAATGATTGGATGGATCAGGAGGATGAAGCAGGAAGGGGAGATGCTGACTGACCGGCTTGGTACATAGTTGGCTACTTTGATGGATGAGTCGAGGGGGAAAGAAAGATGTTTGGGAAGTTGGGTAGGCAGGGAGATTTATGGGCTAAGTGGATGTGGAGAGATTGATGGAAAGAAGTGGAGGAGAAAGGTAGAAATGATAGCTAGATGAGTGGGTAGATGGATGACTAGATGGATGGGAGGGTGAGTGAATGGGTAGGTGGATGGGTGTGTGTGGGTATGGGTGGGTGGGTGAGAACATGGATGGGAAGGTGGGTGGGTGGATGGATGGATGGATGGATGGATGGACGGATGGTGGATGGATGGATGGATGGACGGATGGTGGATGGATGGATGGGTGGGTGAGTGGATGGACGGTGGATGTATGTATGAATGGATGGATGGTGGATTGATGGTGATGGGTGGATGGATGAATGGTGGATGGATGGATGGATGAATGGATGGATGAGGGCAAATGTTAGACTGGAGGGAGGAAGGATAGATAAGTGAATTGATGGATCTGTGGGTGGGTGAATGTATAAAAGGGGAGGTGGGCAGTAACAGATGGGTGGGAAATACATGGTTGCAGGGACGGTAGATGGATGGATGCATGGATGGAGCAGAGGGTATGTAGTGAGATGAGAGCCCAGTCCTCTGCTTTATCTCTCTCCCCTGCCACAGGAGGCCTTCAAGCAGGTGAGGTCTAAGCCATTGACAAGATGGATTATCTGCCCTTATCAGGCCTGCCTCTGCCATTGGCAGAGCAATTTCAGAGGCAGACCCTGCCATTCTGGCCACGGTGGCGTGGGATGGGTGTAAGTCCTGGGCTTGTTTCCTTGAGAAGCAGTGCCTCCTCACTGAGCCCTCAAAAAATCTGTCAAGACTGTGCCGGGAAATCTTTTCTAACTACCCAGTAGATGAAAATAAGATACAGCCAAGACCTATGAATGGGCTATAGAAAGCAGTCATCCACCAGGTGTGGATTTTCAAAGCAGAAATAACTCATTCGGGGCATTTCTCATTCCTTCCCTTGGAATCCAATTAGGTATGCTGAGTGGTGAGAACTGGACCTGGGATTCCCTAGTCTCCATGCCACCCACCCAGGCTCAGGCCAGGGGTGCCCCATGTGTCTTTGTAATCCCCAAGTTGCCCTTCCCCAGAAAGCACCTGCTCCAAGGGGATGTCCTGTAGGTGCTGGTTTCCCTCCCCTGGATGCTGCGGGTGGACTGCAGGCTGCTCCCCTCCCAGCACAGGCACAGTCTCAGCTGGGAAAGGAGCTGGTGAGCCCTGAACCAAACTGATGAGGTAGGGCCCACAGGACTCAGAACATGAGGTCAGGGTCAGACCTTCTGAGCTCAGATCCCAGCTCAGAAACCACAGCTCAGAAACCACAGCTATGGTGTGCTTCCCCTCTCTGAACTTCAGTTTCTTCATCAGTCAAACAGAGAAGATAACTGCTCCCACCACACAGGTCTGCGGCAAAGGCCCTGAAGTCACGTGTGCTCGTATTTCAGCACTTGGTAAATGTGAGCTATGATGAGGAACAAATTCTTTCCGAAGTTCAGGCACATGGGGATTATTTTTAACTTTTTTGAAACTTTTGTTATGGAACATTTCAAACATATACAAACATAGATAATAGTAACCATGAACTCCTGTGTGCTCATAGCCTAGCTTCAACAATTATCAACATTTTGCCAAACTTGTTTCTTCTATCCCCTCACACACTTCCCCTCCCTCCAAATTATGTTTTTAAATCATAGGCATTATATCTTTTGCTCCAAAAACATTTCAGAATCATCTTGTAAAAGATTTCTTACACAGAGATAGGATCAAGATAGGATGATATAAAGTGTTGTGCATAATACAATGAGATGAACACAAGTGTTTTCAGAACTGCGTGTCTTTGGGCAAGTTACTTAACCTCTCTGGACCTTAAATTAATTTCTGTAAGAGGGAAGATGATAAGCCCTCCCTCAAAGGGCTGTGAGGAGAACAATGCTGCTCAGGAACGTGGAGGAGGTGGTACAGGGCCAGGAAGGAGTGGGGCTTCCCCATCAAAGTGGCTGTGAAAGGTGACACCTTTCTCTTTCTTCCTGCCCCCCTGCCATTTCCTGGAAGCCTCATGTCCTCACTGTGCTCCCCACCACCTCTCAGTAACCGGGAACAAGGGGCTGGAGCGGCTCTGGGAAGGCCATTCTCTATGACTGTGGGTTCTGTGCTGCTCCAGTCCACCCTCGGCTCCCATCCTGGTAGGTTGGGCTCAGCAGTTACAGCTCAGGAAGACCAATGCCGAGGCTGAGGGAGACTGGGGGATCACAGGAAGGCATAGAGGGTCACAGCCCTGGTGAGGGAGACAGGACAGGAGGACAGCAGTGCCTTGGCCACACCCACTGGGCTGGCCAGAGGAGGCTGACGGTACGGGCAGCCTTCCTCGCTCTGGCCTTGCTCTCCCACTCACATGGCTGTCTACTACCTCCCGCCAAGGGCAAAGGTGGTGGACAGCTGACTCAGAGAACGAGCTGGCAGTGGGTGCAGAACTCCTACCCGTGCAGGTGGGCTAAGCCCATTGGACATCAGCCTCGGGCTGGCTCAGGTGGGAGCTTTCAGGAACTTCAGAAAACAAGGGCCCGTACTTGTCTGGATGGAAATGGATCCTAATCACGAAACGCTCAGTCCAAGAGAACTTGGAGGCACCTGGAGAGCCATGGCCACCACCCAGGCCACTCTTGGATGGCGACCTCTACACTCACACTCGGCTCCGTGCATGCAGCAGGCAGCTCTGTGAGAATGACAGAGAAAACAGCCCAGTCCCCATCCTTCCAGCTCACGGGCGAGCCACTGGGGGAGAGCTGAGCCATGCTGGGTGCACCCTGGCGCTCGAATGTGGGCTCCTGACAGTGACAAGGAACACACTGGCGTTCTCAGCGGTAGGTCCCTGGGCCTGCCCGGATTCACTGAGATCTCCCAGACGGTGTCCACAAGGTGTAGAAATCAGTGAGAGAATGAGAGGAGGTCAAAGAGAAGGTCAAATACCTTCCCCACATTCAGAGGGGGAACAGAAGATTCAGGAAAAAATCAACACATAAGCTTGAGGTTAACACTAAAGGAAAATTTTTAAATGAATTAGCACACAAGCAATGGCAATTGTTTGAAGTGAATATTGGTTCAATAGAAACAAGTCCTGCTAAATTGTCTGCATATTTTTAAAAATAGGGCCAGTGCCTGGTTCTATCAAACTGTAGCCACAGATGCACTGCATCCTTGACTTCAGTAGAGCTCTGAAGTCTGCCTTGGAGAGGCTGACTGTCTAGAAGCAGGTGAAGGCCAGTTTTATCTAATCAGCAAATATGTGTGGGCCCCTCCTGTTCATGCTGGGGACCAGCAAAGAGTGACCCAGTGTTGCCTTCATGGAGCTGGTACTCCAGTGAGAGGCTTGGACAAGGGCTGTGAAGGAAGGGCATGGAGCTTGGAGGGAGAAGGCTGTACAGGTCCTGCCTGGGTCATGGGGCAGGAGGGACAAGGGGTCAAAGGGATCAGGGAGTGGTCTGTGTCTGGAGCACAGAAAAGAGGAGCAAGGGCTACATGGAGGCCATTGAGCATGCCCAGAGCTGACCTCAGGGCCTCCAAGCCATGTCAGGCTTTTTGTCTTTGCAAAAGCAGGGAGGCAATTTAGGGAAGAAGCGTGGAGTGGTCAAATGTGCATTTTGAACAGAACACTCTTGCTACAGGGTGGAATGGAGAGAGGCTGGCATGAATGCATGCGGCCCACTGAGGAGGCCACTGCAGCCACCAGGGAAATGACTATGGCCTGGACCACATACACTGTGGTGGACGACAAGCATGGAAATGGAAGAAAGCAAAATCAAGAGGGTTGGTGATGGCCTGGAGGGCCTGAGGGAGAAGGTGGTTTGCGGATGGCTCCACCTCCAGGTGCCTGATGCCAGTGCTCCGTTCAGCGGACAGGGATGCAGGTGGAAGAGGCAGCCCTGGGGAGGAGAGCATGACTTCTTGCATGCACCAGGTCCAGGTGGCCCCTTGCCCACATGGCTCTGGAGATCAGAGGAGAAGGTTGTCTGCACACGAATACTAAACGACACTCTGCACATGAACCAGAAAACCCAGGAATGAAGTACAGAGGATGGTGAAGAGAGGAATAGACAGAGGCAGGAGGAACCCAGCATGCAATCACAGTGCAGACAGACAAGCCTACAAACAGCCCAAGGCAGGAGAAACTGGGGAGCTGAGGCAGATGCTGCCTGAGAAACAGCCCCTGGCTTTCATGACAGGAGGTCCTTGGTGCCAGTGAGAGTTAGTCTGGTGACAGGAGAGGAGGCAGATGGGATGGTGGAGGGTTGAGTGGGAAATGCGGGATCTCAACAGCCAGTGTAGCCATCTCTGGGCTGGGTAGCAGAGAGAGGTGGGGGGCTGGTGGAGGTGTTGGGAATCACCAGTGACTGTGTCACCGGGGCTGGCTCTGACTGGACCTAACTCACCATCTTCCTGGCACTCAAATGAAGACCTGGGAGGCAGCATGTGTGCTGACCACACTTTTGGATACAGCAAAGCTGAGACGGGTTGTTCCTTCCACTGGCGACAAAGGGAAGACCTGGACCTCAGTTTACCCACACACTGCCCAGCTAACCCATGGGTGCCTTCTGGGTCTGCCCCCCACGGCTCTGGGAGTTAGGGTTAGTGTTAGGGTTTGGGCTTGGGTTCGGGTTTCCTGTGTCCTGAGGGCTCTACCACAGCTGCCCTGGCCACTCCACAGAGAAGCACTTTCATAAGGGGCTGGGATGCCACCTCCATCACCAGAGCTCTGGGCACCAACAATGCTGGACCTCAGTGCTCCTTTGAGCCCCATCAGAGACTTGAGGAAACACTGAGGTCCCCCAGGCAAGCCCTACACCCTACGCCCCACCTGCAAAATGCCTCTGGGTTTGTGTGCATGAAGAATGTGCACTTTTTCTGTCTGAAATTACCTGGCAGTACTGACTATCCACAACCTTCTTCTGAGGCCTCTGGGACCAGGCGCCGCTGGGAACCTGTCTTCCTGACACCTTGTTGTTGGCAGGAGTCCAGGCCCCAGATGCCCACTGCCACTCCCAGGCCAGCTCCTGGCTCAAGGGGGTTGAATCCACCTCTGGGGGAGCCATTTGCTGACCAGTCGGGGGCCTGTTCTGTGGGCTACTGACCAAACCTTTGGGAATGTGTGGACCACTTGCTCAGTAAACCCAGCTAGTCTGATGCACCTTCCTTGGAAATAGGGGTCTCCGAGGGGCAATAATCAGTTTCCCCATGGGGTGGGAGGGTGGTCCCTGCACCAAGCCCAGCATCTGAGCTGCATGGTGAGGGGCTCTGTCAGTACAGTAAATGCTTATCAAGTGTCCACTGCATGCCCAGAGCTATGACACAGAGAGGTTAACGCAGACTTCCCTGCCCCTGCCGAGCTGTCATTCTGCAGGGGAGTAAACAACCCCAATCGTCTCTTGCAGTGGTCCCATAAGGAAGTCACACAGGGTGAGCTGGAGACAGAGTGCCAGGGGCAGAGGATGAACAGCAAGGCTGGTCAGGGAAAGCCTCTCTAAGCTAGGCCTGGGAGACAGGAGGGGACCCCCACTGAAGCCAAGCAAAAGACTAGCACCCAGGGCAGGGCCCATTCCACAACTCCCTCCTCTATCCCTCCACCCCCTGGCAGTCCCCACCCCATGCTGCCCCTCTCCCCAGACAGCTGGGGGGGCTTGCACCCAGCCACTCTCCCTAATGTGTGCTCTTCTTGGCTCCCACTGGTGATCCTGCAGCCTTCTCCCCAGCCAGCCTTGACTGTAGGCCCCAAACCCAGCCTGCCCTGGATTGGGTCCTATTTCAGGATGGGGGAGGTGCAGGCACACCTAGGAGCAGCCCATCCCTGACAGCTGGGGAGCCTGCCTGCCTCACCTATTAGATATGCAGAGACAGGTTTCCAGGCCTGAGCACCCTCTCTCTACCCTCCTCCAGGCATACCGAAAGAGGATGCATCAGCTCCTGCAGGCTCTGCACCAGAAGCTGGCGGCTCTGGGCCAGGGGCCGGAAAGCCTGCTGGGCACTGACAAGCCCATCTCCTACAGGAACAAGCCTCCAGCCTCTATCCACAGGGAGCTCCTCAGCATCTGCAGTGACCCCTACACACTGGCTCAGCAGCTGACCCACATAGAGCTGGTGAGCAGGCCCACACCGCCCTCCACTCAGACCCAGAGCCTGGAACACTGAAAATAGCCGGCCACCCCCCAACTCCCCGTCTTGTACCCCACCTGGTCTCAGCCTAACCCAGGGCCTGAGCGCATCACATCAGGGCCACCCAGGCATCTCCAGAGGACCCTGACTCTGGAGCAGTCTCTCACCACACCTGGGGCGAGGAACAGGAAGGCTGGAGGTACCAACCCTGCCCAACTTTGACCTCTGGCCTGCCTGAGAGTCCAGGCCTGGGACAGAGGAACTAGGTTCAGATCCTGGCTCTGACACCACCTGATGTGTGATCCTCCCACATCCAAGGCCTTCCCCACCCGGGCCTCGGTTTTCCCCATCCAGGACTCACACAGTCACACTGTACCCACCCCAGCTTTCCAGAGAAGCGCAGACAGGCCTTCCTGTGTGGGAAAGGGATGCCCTGGCCTAACCTCCAGTATATTGGGCTCTTTGTACATGCAGAGGCCAAAGGGGCCTGCCCCAGAGAGAAGGGAAGCTGGGGAGTAGGGTTCTTTTCTTTTAAACCTCCATCGTTTATGGCACCCTTACTGGTTTCCAGGCATTATATTCAAGAGTTACGTGCACTATCTCATCTTCCCACCACCTTACCAGATAGGTGCTATTATTATTGTCTTTTCACAGTTGAGGAAGCTAAAGCCAGAGTGTTTAAGTGACTTGCCAGAAGTCACACAGCAGAAGGGACAGAGCCAGGATTCAATTCTGACCCAGACCCCATGCTCTTAGCCATCAGGCCTACCCTGGAGGGAGCAGGTCATTTCAATTACCCGATTCCGAGCCTGGTTTCCTAGGTATCACACCCTACAAGCACTCCCTATGGAGACATTGACCCCTGCCCCCATGAAATACAGCAGCCCCTGAGCATGGGAAAGGAGGGGCTGCCCCCTTCAAGATGGTGCTAAGCTCTGTGACAACCCAGAACAGGGCTGTAGAGGCCCGGTGAGAAGGGCAGCTGGGCCCATGCCAGGCCCCCAGGGAGCATCCCTTCCCCATACATTTCCCATTTTCCCAACTCCTTTTCTGTCTCTGGTGCAGGAACGGCTACAACACATTGGACCTGAGGAATTTGTCCAGGCTTTTGTGAACAAGGACCCTCTGGCCAGCACAAAGGTAGAAGGCCCTTGGACGGACTGTCCCAGCAGTGACCCCTACTCACCGGTCCCTCTGGGGGATCCCCGGAGCATCAGCTGAGCCAGCTTCGGAGGGACCAAGGGCAGATGGGCTTGGAGGGGTCGTGCCCACTCCACCCATGCCCCTAGCCCAAGGCCATCACACCCCAGCAGCCCTGAGTCCTGGGGAAGCCTGGGAGGGCAGGATGAGCCTGGCCGGGTCACCCACCCAGCGAGGGCGGAGTGGCGGTCGAGGAGCAGGAGCCCTGGGTGGGTTAGAGGGTAGAGGTTCGCACGGGGCCCGCTCCAAGACCCCATGTGCCCTCCCGGTGCTTTGCGGTGGGCGCTGATGCCCTCTAGCGGCCACCCGGGGTAACGCGGGCTGGTGCCAGCTGCTCAGGGAAGTTAAGGGCATGCTCTTCCCTCTGAAGGTGGAATTTCAGAGCCTGCCCCTCTCTCTCAGAGCCCAACCAGCAGTTAGCCTGGTGCTTATCAAGGAGTTAAATCCGAACCAGAACTGGAAATATCCTGTCTTCTGCCCTGGCACCTAATAAAAGAAGAGAAACCTGAATATGCAATTGCATTTCACCTCTCGGATAAGCAAAGATTAAACATTATGGGTGTGTATGTGCAGGGAAAGGGACCGTCTCATACACGGCTGGTAAGGGGTAAAATTGGCACAGCCACTTTGGAGAGCAGCATGCCAATAGCATCAACACTTGAAATATACACTCTGGACCCCAACTTTCCACACCTAACAATTTACCCTGCAGATATACACACACATGTACACAAAGATGTATGCACAAAGATATTTGGGATATCTTTCTGTGCTTTATGACCAAAGGCTGGAAGCAAACTACCTTACCATCCACAGGGACTTGATTAAACATTATAATACATCCATACATAGAATGCTATGCAACTATTAGAATAAGAGTGACTGGAAGAATGGAATAATCACCAAAGGTCCATTGTTGAGAAAAGAAAGTAAAGTGAAGAGCAGTGGCAAAGAGTATGTGACCATCTGTGTAACAACAACAGGTAGGAGGGTGCATGATACATATCCCCTTGCACATGCGTGTGGACAATCTCTAGGAATACTGGTTACTCTGGGGAGCCCAGCATGGAGCTGGGAGAAGAGTGGAAAGGAGGCTTTGCTACTCTTATTGAGTTGTTTGTTGTTCTGTTTTGTTTTGTTTGGGGGTTTGGCCCTTTCCAAGTATTATTTTTTATTGTGAAATACATCAAGATTGCACGTGACATTTCTTTACCCACTCTACTGTAGATGAACATTTTTGTGTTGCTTCCAGACTCTTGGCTATTGTAGATATTGCTTCTATGAACATTCTTACACATTTCTAATGTATGTGGGTACATTTTTTCTAGGGCACCAGTTCTCAAATGTTTTGGTCTCAAGATGCCTTTTTCACTCTTAAAAATTATGGAGGACCCCAAAGAACTTTTGATTATGTACTAATAATATCTACCGGTATTTATTCTATTAACCATTAAAGCCAATAACTTTTTAAAATATTTATTTATTCAAAAATCATAACTCATTATATGTTAATGTAAGTTTTATGAACAATAACTCTATTTTCCAAAATAAAAAAAAATTAATGAGAAGAGTGATATTGTTTTACAGTATTTTTACAAATCTCTTTAATGACTGACAATAGAAGGCAGTTGAATTCTCTTAATCTACTTCTGCATTCAATCTCTTGACCTAACATTATTTGAGTTGAAAATCCATCCTCACACAAATATGTAGTTGGAAAAGAGAGGCATATATTACAGCCTTTTCAGATAATTGTGAATATTCTTCTTTGATAGTACACTAAAACTCAACAAGGGGTAATTTTTTAAGATCAGCTGCAATTTGGAATCTGAAAATAAACTCTATCACTTTAAAATTCATTGGTCCATCTTGCATCTTGAATGGATCTTTTTGCCCATGCAGGATTTTGTGACATATATTGTCCATTTGGAAAATATGGGTTCACTGAATCAAGCAGACCTTCTGAATGTTGGCATGTTTCATTATATGATATTTTAAAATGATATTCATTATATATATTCACTACTGATATCACCCAAAAAGTTCTTAAGTATTGGGAAGCTGTCACGCTCCACAGGCAGATACATGTTTTATAAGTTCCCAATTTTCTCTTGAAAACTTGAATTTTATCCTTGGCAACGAATACTATCAGTTGTTTTCCTTGAAGTTACAGGCTCATTTTGTTGATTTTCAAGGAAATATCAACCAAATACTGAAGTCTGAGTAACCATAATGGGTCAGTCCTTCTTTCAGGTAAAAATAGTGCTCCATGAGTAAAGTTCAGCTCACAAGTCAGTCACACCAGTGCTTTTCCGCAAGACCACCATCAAAACTCTGTGTGCAGCAGAAGTGCCTATGTCTACAGTCCTCCCTTCGTATCTGTAGGTTCTGCAACTGCAGATTCCACCAGCCTCAGATCAAAAATATTAGAAAAAATTAAAACTCCAGAAAGTTCTAAATAGCAATACTTGAATTTACTGCTCACCCAAGCAACTATTTACATAGTATTTACATTGTATTAGGTATTATAAGTAATCTAGAGATGATTTGAAGTACGCGGGAGGATGTGCATAGGTTTATGCAAATACTACGCCATTTTACATATGGAACTTGAGCATCCTCTGATTTTGGTATCTGAGGGGGGAGGTGGAACCATTCCCACCCCAAAGATACCGAGGGACAACTGCACTCCCATTTTGTCACATAGAACATGAAAAAGACATGTACTCAAGGGTTGAGATTTAATAAAACTGAAAAGTTTTTTGTCCTCCAGGACACTCTTAGTCACACTCACTTTTTTTCTTTTACTGTGAGTGTGTGGTAGTGAAGAACATGATGGCCACTGGTGTCATTTGGTGACTCTGTCTCGATTCAGGCAGCAATTTTACCCATCATTCTACTATGCATTGGTACAAATGTCAACATGGTGAAAGGCAATAATCTATGAATATGAAATTAGGTTTGCCCTTGTGGACCCCCTGAAACGGTCTCAGGGACCCCCAGGAGTCCATGGACAACACTTTGAGATGTTGCTCTAATATATACCTACGAAGGGAATCACTGTGTCCGTCACAGGGTGGGCATATGATTAACCTTACCAGATGATGCCAGGTGAGGCTGTATCCATTTACACTGCCAGCAGGGAGTTATTCTTGCTCCACAGCCTCACTGACGCTTGAAATTGTCAGGCTTTTTAATTTTTGTGAAACTGTTAAATGGAGCATCTTTTCATGTGTTTTGGACATTCTTGTTTTCTCGTCTATGAAATGCCTGTCCCTGATTTTTGTTTGGTTTTCTATTGGTGATTTGTCTTTTTCTTAAGGATTTTTAAGAGTTTTGAGTGAGTTTTTAAAATGTGTACTAGTTAATTATCCCTTGTCAGTTAGATGTACTGCAAATTTTCTTCTCCTAGTTGGTTTCTTTGCTTTTCATTCTCATTATTGTGTCTTTTAACGAACAAGTATTCTTAATTTCCTCCTTATAAGGAATTTACCTTTCTGGATTATTTTTGCCTCCATATTTTGAAGCTATGCTATTAGGTGCAGACAAATTTAGACTCATGACATATTCTCAATAAATCAAAACTTTTATCTTTATGCAGTTACCCTTTAAACTCTCTTAATGCTTCTTGCCTTGGAGTCCTTTTTTGCCTTAAAGTCTATTTTGTCTAATACTAATATAGCTATGTGATGATAAATATCACATAAATATTTATCACGTGTATTTTTCAATTTTTTTACTTATATCCTTGGGTTTGGGGTGTACCTCTTGAAAATAGCAGAAGGCTGGATTTTTAAAATTACAGTGACTGGTCTATATCAGGGTAATTACTGCTCTAGATGGATTTGTTTTTACTGTCTTCTGTTGTACCTTGTCTTCTTTACCTCTTGTGCTTCTTTTTTTCCTTCTTTCTTTACTTCCTTTGGATTCTCTGGAATTGTAGTACATTTATACAGTGGAATAGTCTACATCAATTTTTAAAATTATGTTTCCAAAGAATATTTTATAGCACATGAAAGGGTTCATGTAGAAAAATGTGGGAATATATATAGAATATAGAGATAGAGATAGAAACATACGTACACACATACATACATAAACACATATGGTTGGTCCTCATTATTCACCTTTATATCCTATAGTCGTTGTGAACACTGAATTAGCAAATACTGAGCCATTACTCCCGGGGAAAACATAGGGTTAGGTTCCTTGCAAGCCTTTCATCACAACATTTTCATCAACCTGTCAATATATAACCTTGATTTATGTGTGTTTCTGTTTAATAAGACCTTATTTAATATATGTTGTTGATTCAATAACATTGAACTCATGGCCAACAGCACTGTGACTCACGTCTGAATGAAGCTTATCTAACACATTTTTTTCCTTAGGGCACGTCACAACCTTCATGTGCTTAGGAACACAAGACAGCATGGCAGCGCTGTGCTTGGGACCACTTTAAACAGTGAAATCACCAAGAAAAAGCACAAAAGTGCCAAAAAAAAAAAAAAGACACTAAATAGACTACAAAAAGGACACTTGTTTACAGTATGGGAGCTGAAACCAGAAGTCAGGGCATCAGCTCAACCTCAGCTGGGAACACACAGGTGCATTGGGTGACTCAAATGTTTTGCCACTCTGCACATGTCCACAAATGACCAAGAAGTGACATGAGTGTTATTTGGGGGGGTTACAAATGAAATTTTAGGAAGTAGATTCGCAAACACAAAATCTGTGAATAATGAGGATTAGTTATGTGTGTGGGTATATGATATATATATATCATATTAAGTTACGTCTTTAAGTGTATAGAAAAAAAGACTAGAAGGATACATGTCAAATCATGTATTTTTGGATGGTTTTGAGATATTTGTGGATGGTTTTGAGGTTGCGACATTTCCCAGATTGTCTATAATGATCATGGCTGACTTCAAAAAGTTATTCGTGTTCAAAAAGTTATTGACAAAAAGCCTGAGCATGGTCCTTGTGTCTTTCCTAGCCTTGTTTCAGTGACAAGACTAACAACCTGGAAGCTTACGTGAAATGGTTCAACAGATTGTGCTACCTTGTGGCTACTGAGATCTGCATGGTGCGTAGGAAGCCAGGGCCTGACCTGGCATGGCCAAAGGTGGCCAGGGCTTGAGAGGAGCCTTCTTGGGAGGGAACCAGAAGAGCATCATGAGCCTGTCTCCAAGCCCAGGGCCAGGCTGGGCACGCTCTGGGACACCGGGTGTCACCCAGCTTGCCTGTAGTGATATCTCCCCTCTGGGTAGAGCCTGGCAAACCCCCGTCTTAGCTGCCAGGTCAGTGATGCGGTGGATCCTGGCGTGCCAGTGGATCCTGCCTGGCGTGGATCCACCTGCCAGTCACAGAGGGTGTCAGAGAGATGCTTGCTGAGGGAGAGGGGGGCGGACTCTGCTTCTTCCACCTGTTCCTGGGGCGGACTGGTCTGGCCTGCAGACAAATTCCATTTGGCTCACTCAGGACTTAGAGGTAGAAATAATCTAACCTTTAAGAAGTGGGAGATTGCACTTTAAAGTCCAGGTCTCTGGCTTCTCCTGGAAAGCAGGAAGACCAGGAAACACTGAGCTGGACATGCTCGCCACCAGGTCTCAGCCCCGCCAAGCCAGACCCTGCCCACCCTCTTCCCTTCCTATGGCAGTGGAACCCTCTCCCAAGCCCATTCTCCCACTGTCAGGTGAAGCCCAAGGTCCCCCGTCTCAGGGGAAGATTGGAGGCAGCATATGTGCCAGGGTGGGCTCTCTGGAAGCAGACACTGAGACAGAGCTTGGGGCATAAGGTGTTTATGAGGGGTCTGCGACCGAGAAAGGAGAAGCTTATCTGTGATACCTCAGCCTGAGACAGTGCTTCCTGTCAGAGTGCCCACATCCACCCTAGTAGTTGGCCCTGATCCCCCACCTTGCTCGGTCACCATCACCATCCCCGTGTGGGCTGTCCCATGAAAGGGCAGGACCTCAAGCGGGCAGCTCTCGGAAGGGGTTTTGGATGCACAGCTCCTCAGACACCACAGCAAGCTTCTTGGCAGCAGTAAGGACCACTTCTGCAATTATGGGAGGAGGGCAATCTACGTGGAAAGAACACTGTAGGGTTCCTTGGGCCTTGCCTGCTTCTGACACCGCATCACTGGCCTGGCAGCTAAGACGGGGGTTTGCCTGAGTGAAGCCTGGACAGAGCCCACCCCAGAGTCAGGCAGCGCTTCAGCCTGGGAGAGGACACAGTTTGGTTCTGACCCATCAGAGAGATCAAAGTCTCACGCACTCGACTCGAGCTGCGGTTGAAATCACAGTCAGTTGACAGAAAGCATTGGTGGGGCTGCTAGGGGACAGAGCCTCGGGGTCACCGTGGGGTCCCCGCACCCCGTGTGAAGTGGAGAAGTTTGGTGCTGGGAAGAGAGGTGAGGGAGTCATGTTTTCTGCTTCTAGGTGTAGGGGTGCTGGAGCTAGGCCTGAGAGGGCAGGAGGACATGTGGGGGCCCCCAGCACCTCCCATGCTGCAGGTGGCTCCTGTGTGGCAACAGGAGTCCCGCCAGCCCCCATCCGGCCCTCCATGGCAATGAGCTCTGTGCTAGCTCCACCCAGGGTGCACTGAGAGCCTCAGTCCCTGGGCTACAAATTGCTTTGTCATCAAGCATCTCAGCTGTGAAATGGGCTTAAAGAAGATTAATGAGGGATAGGACAGGTAAGCAGGGTGTGTGGTCAGGGCAGGGTGGGGACACCTCATCACTGAGGCTCATATGCCCTGTCCCCAGCCGTCCAAGAAGAAACAGAGGGCCCAGGTGATTGAGTTCTTCATCGACGTAGCCCGTGAGTGCTTCAACATCGGCAACTTCAACTCCCTAATGGCCATAATCTGTGAGTGGGCCTGGAGCCCCCGGTGCAAGTGCTCCCAGAGAGGGTGGAGTGGGCACACCCAGGCAGGTGGGGTGCAAGCCACCTGAGCAGGGGGTGGGTGCAGGCTGGGCCCATGTTCCCCCCACCCCACCCCAAAGGTCCTGGGGAGGCGCCCCTTTTGAGGCAAGCCCAGGGCTTTCAGGGTGCTTGATGAGAGCTTGGCAGTGTGTCCCCAGACCCAGGGAAAGCAGGGGCCCAAAGCAGGCCCCTGGTCACAGTATAGGGCCAGTGTGGGACAGGGACTGGGACAGGGGCCCTGCACATACAGAAGCCAGGCCTACCTGTACACAGTGTCCATTAGCACCCACCCACCCTCCATCTGGCAGGCTGAGGCTCCACAAACATCAGCCCTGGTCAGGGTGCAGCCTGAGGGGCTAGGCCAGCTGGGGGCCTCACAGAGGGACTGTGCAGCTCAGAACAGTCCTCCCAGCCTGGCCCTGCCCCCAGCTCAGCCTTCCCTCTTTCAGCTGGCATGAACATGAGCCCTGTCTCAAGACTGAAGAAGACCTGGGCCAAAGTGAAGACAGCCAAGTTTTTCATCCTCGAGGTAAGCAAGGCTGCTGGGCTGCTGGGTGCCACCAGCCATCCCCAGGACACAGTTGCCCAAATGCCTCCCTATCTCCTTCCAGCACCAGATGGACCCAACAGGGAATTTCTGCAACTATAGAACAGCCCTGCGCGGGGCAGCCCACCGCTCCCTGACCGCCCACAGCAGCCAAGAGAAGGTAGGTCAGAGGCTTGCCCAGCCCTCAGAGCCCCTCCCTGCTCCAGACCACCTAGGCCCAGGTGGGGTGGTGACTTGAAGGTCATCTGGTCCAATCCCCTGCCCTTCTGCAGCATCTATAATAAGAGAGTCGTGTCACCTTGCTCGCATGCTTCCAGTATAGGGAACTCACCACCTCCCCAAACAGATCAACCCACCCCCCAGCAGCTCTAACTGGTAGCAAGTGCTGCCTTGTGGGGTTGTGTCAGCCACCTGGGGCTGTCCTCTCCAGAGGACCACACAGAGTAAGGCCATTCCCTCTTCCAGCCACCAGTCCTTCTGAGCCCCAGGCCCCGCCTCCCTCTCTCCTCCTGAGTCAGCAGCCCCAGGCCTGCCCTGCCATGCTGTGGTCTCCAGTTCCCTCCCTTCTTGGGTCCCTTTGTTCTCTGAACAGCTCCATTTGTCAGGGTCCCTCTGTTTCAGATCAAATTGTGGTTCCAAGTACATAGGATCTTACACCTCCTTATCCTAAAGGCAATACCTTCATTGATGTGGCCTCAGATCACATTTATGTTTTTGGAAATGACTAAACCAAAATTCTGTGGCTTCTTGCCACAGAATTGCATTTTCACAGATCTTGTTCTTATACATTTGCATTTGGAGGGCATTTGGTCATCCTGATCAATTTTGTTTCTCCTCCAAATTCTCCTAGTGGCCTCTGATACAAGAAACCATCCCAGGTCCTGGGATTGCCATGATCCGCCAGCTTAAAACCTGTCACCAGCTTGATGATTAGAGTCGTTCATCTCCATGGGGAGAAAACAGCAAGACTTGCTGTGCCTTTTCAGTCTGGTCTCTTGCAGGAACATTGGTGGAATCAGGGCCCCACCATAGTTTGTGGAAGTTGCTTCCAGCTCACGGGATAATAGAACCAGTTGCTGTTCTTGAAATTCGAAGTGACTCTGTGATCGTATTGGATGCATATGTGGTCGGGTTTGGGGAGCAGGCTGAGATATGCATGCTCGTGCAACCCACCAGGCCTTCCCAGCCTCCTCCCCGCAGAGCACAGATTATGCGCAGACCCAGGCCACACTGTTGGCCATGTCCTGTCCAGCTGACCCTTCCTGTTCAGGCTGTCAGCACTTCAGCAATGCTGGGTTCCGGGGAGCCTGGTGCAGGGGTGCAGCACTCAGCAAGGCATGTCCTCAAGTCCCAGGGCAGGTGAGCCTGTCCCCCGGGAGCCAGGAAGCTGGAAAACCAGGGCAGCAGGGGTACTCTCGCTTCACTGAGCACCCACCGCATGAGGGCCACTTGACCACCATCTCCCAATTTAATTCTGACAACTATTCCATGGGGTAGACTTCAGCATTGCCACTTTCTGCATTAGAAGACTGATTCTCAGAGAGGAGCCCTCACTAGCCAAGTCACTCAGCAAGTAGGCAACAGAGCCAGGAATCAGACTCTAAGTCTCCCAGTCTTTTCTACCTTCCGTCCTCGGGGCACAGGTACCATGTGGCAGTCACAGGGGTACTGGTTTCTGGCCCAGGAGTTGGACTGTGGGTGGGGGTGCCTAGAGGAGGCTGCAGCCTTTGGACTGAGGTGTCAGTCACAGCACTGGTGCTCTACACTCTTTTCCTTCTACCCTGAAAGCAGAGTGAACAGACTGGGACTTTGTGCTCCCGCTCTCTGCACCCCTTCTAGCTCTGGGGTGCTGGGACGCTGTGCATTTAGGTCTGGAGCTATAGGTGGGAGACTGACAGAGCTGTGCACTTAGTTTCACTGCATTCTCCTCTAACTTCCAGGGAGTTATGGACCATGGGCTAGACCCACAGAAGCTCCTTCATGAATGGATGGAAGGTTGGAGGATGGATGGACGGATGGATGGATGGATGGAAGAATGGATGGAAGGAAGGATAGATAGATGGATGGAAGTGTGCAAGGAAGGGAGGAAGGAAAGATAGAAGAATGGAAGGCTGGAGGTTGGAAGGAAGAAAAAAGGGAGGGAGGGTGAGAGGGAAGGAAAGAGGGAGGAAATGAAGTAGGGAAGGAGGGAAAGAAGCTTGCAGATGCTCTCGCAGTTTCCCAGTGCCCCCAGCTGAAACTTTGAGGCCAGGAGGTCACTTTGTGTTTTCTTCCTGCCTATGGCTGGCTCCTGTCTGCCCCTCACTCTCCCCTAGTCTCTGTGACAAAGCACCCTCCACACAGGCTTCTCTGGGTGCCCTCCAGGTTGAGCTGGGTTCTGATGGAAATGCTCAGGTCCAGAAAACAATGGCCCAGGTTTACAGTCATGTGGACAGACAGAAGTGGTGAAAAATTCTCACACATGGGAAATGCTGCCACCCAGAGGACCACTTCAATGGCCCTGCCACCAGGAAACCTGCACCAGGCCCATGAGGAGCCGTCTCTGTCCCCAGAGTCCCACAGCCCTTAATCCCCACCCTTGCCCGTCTCAGTGGGTCTCCCCATTCCAACTCAATTCAGCCATCATGCACAAGAACTGGACCAGGGACTCAGCACCAGTGTGGGTGGTGGGAGATGGATAGAGACCACCCTCCCTCTTGGCACAGTGAGGAAGAAGACAGGACAGGGGCTCTGGAGCAGAGTCCTAGTCCTGCATCCACTACTTACTGTTGTGTGAGCTTCTATGAGTTACTTAACCTGTCTGAGTCTCAGCTTCCTCATCTGTGAGGTGGGGTCATAAAAGCCCTATTTCACAGGACAGTGATGAGGATGAAACATGATCTCATGTGTATATACCTCAGCACAGTGAAGCACTCAGGCCCACCACCAATGCCCCGGTGACAAGGGCGTAAGTGGAGACACTCTTTGAGAGCACAGCAAGGGACTAAAGCCAGCGTGGGGGAAGCCAAGATGAGGCTTCCTTGTTTTGTAGATTGTTCCCTTGACTGTCTCCCACTATACTGGGATCAGGAATGAATGTGTGTGACACACTCTCACTGTCCCCCAAGCCCCGGCACCTAGCATAGAGAAGACATGAGCAAATGTTTGTGGAAGTGACATAAATCTAGGGTGACCAGTTCATCCCAGTTTGCCTAGGACTGCCCCAGGTTTAGTATCACAAGTCCTGCATCCCAGGAAACCCCTCAGTTGTGGACAAACCCTGCTAAACCTGGCTCTGGTCCTGGCCCTGGTGATCACTAGCTGGACCTTGTGCCAGGCCCTACCACTCTATGGACCTTGGTTTCCCCATCTGCCCCGCCCAGCTGAGCCATCCATGCTTCTATGCTGTGCCGAGTGGTCAGTGCCCAGGTCCTCACATCAAAGCCCTTGTCAGCTTGGTTGGGGAATGACCTAGGCAGTCCCTGAGCCAGAAGTGTCAGGGCCTGGTGCCCGGGCCTAAGGGTGATGGGCTGGAAGCCGGCACTAGCTGGCCTGGCCACATGTGCCCAGCTCTGGAGCCTAAGGGCAGAGCAGATGTGTTAGTTTCCTGGGCTGACATAACAAAGCACATAAACTAGGTAGCTTAGAACAGCAGAAATGTATTCTCTTACAGTTCTGGAGGCCAGAGGCCAAAATCAAGGTTGGAAGGGCCATGCTCCCTCCAAAGGCTCTAGGGGAGGATTCTTCTTTGCCTCTTTCAGCTTCTGATGGCCATAGGCACTCCTTGGCTAGTGGCTGCATCATTCCCATCTATGTCTCTGTTGTCACATGACTACCTTCCCTGTGTGTGTCCAAATTTCCCTCTTTTTATAAAAATACCAGCCCACCTAATCCATGTGACCTCATCTCCATTTGATTCCATCCATAGCAAAGACTCTATCTCCAAATAAGTTCCCATTCATAGGCACTGGGGGGTTTAGGACATGAACATAACTTTTTTTCTCTCTATTTTTGGCTGCATTGAGTCTTCGTTGCTGCGCACGGGCTTCCTCTAGTTGTGGCAAGTGGGGGCTACTCTTCGTTGTGGTGCGCGGGCTTCTCTTGTGGTGGAGCATGGGCTCTAGGCCCGTGGGCTTCAGTAGTTGTAGCAGTTGGCTTCAGTAGGCTTCAGCAGTTGTGGCTTGCAGACTCTAGAGCATAGGCTCAGTAGTTTTGGCACAAGGGCTTAGTTGCTCCGTGTCATGTGGGATCTTCCCGGACCAGGGATCGAACCTGTGTCCCCTGCATTGGCAGGTGGATTCTTAACCACTGCACCACCAGGGAAGTCCTTGAACATAACTTTCTGAGGGACACAGTTCAACCCACAACACAAGGTAGACCCAGCTGGTTCCCCAAGAGTAGTCTGAGCTGTCACCAGTTGGACTCCTTTCTCTAGGGGTTAGCAGGTATGGAACAAGGAGGGAGAAACAAGACATCTGACAGTGAAACACAGAGACCCCATCCTTCTCAGGCTGAGCACATAAGCCTGTCCCTTCAGGAACCAGAGTAGGGATGCTTTCAGCCTTACCATAGTGCAGCAGCATCAGATCTTTAGCATCAAGAAAGACATAGAATGGCAAATTGTTAAATGTATATTTTTAAAAGAGGCCACAGAATTTCACAGCAGATAATTCACATTCCATTAGCATATTTTTTGATTCATAAAACCAAAACTTAAAAAAAATATTTTTCTATTTCAGTATATTTATTCTTTTCTAAAATTTTTATTTTATATTTAAGTGTGCTCGGCACACTCCATTCCTCCTGGGGCACATGAGTCAGGAGACCTAAGTCTGTGGACCCCTGGACTGTGGGGAGAAGTTCCCATTGGCCTTTCCCAACAGACGATGGGAGAAATGTTCAAAGGCCACTGAAACTATGCATCTTTCACCCAGCCCCAACAGGAAGGGGAATGGCATTGTATACAGTAGGAGCTCAATCAGCACTGCACTGGGGTCTGGTGGGACTTGGAAAGAAATGGTCTGGCCCTAGTTTGTGCCTCCTTTCTTTGTGGTTTCCACATTGCTCCCCATGGTACATACTACGTAGCCTATGGCCCATGAAGCCCTGAGGCTGGCCAGCCTTGCCCAGGTGGGAAGTCTCTCCCACATTCTGCATCCTGGTGTTGTATCTGAGGTCCCTGGGGCAGGTGGCTGCTGGCAAGGCTGCCTCTCTCCTATGCAGCCACTGTGGGGAGGCCAACTGAGGGCTGACCTGCACCCTCTCCCTTCCAGATCGTCATCCCCTTCTTCAGCCTGCTCATCAAAGACATCTACTTCCTAAACGAAGGCTGTGCCAACCGCCTCCCCAATGGACACATCAACTTTGAGGTAGGGTCCAGGGGCCTTGGAGGGCCTGCCACCTAGTTAAGCAGGCTGATAAAAGCTCCCAGAGCAGGATTTCTGGCCCTGAATGGTTGGATTAAAGGAGGACTCCGAGGCAGAGTGCAGCAGTTTGCAGCCAACATCAGAGTGGGATTATTGGGGTCTCCCCACATCTTCCATAGGAAGAGACTGAGGCTCATGAAGGCATTGACCCCCACTCTGCGCAGGCTTCATGTCTAGCACAGGTGAAGTAGCATCATTTTCAGTCCTTAAGGAGCCCCAGGCTGACAAGAAAGACAGCCCTGCAGACCCACAGTGACAATTGACATGGTGCTGTGACAGGAGCTGCACAGGGGCACAGTTCACGGTCAGGAGAGGCCTTCCAAAGTAGGAGCCCTTAGCAACAGGAGGAAGTGTCAGGCAGAGTGGGAAGGAGAGAAAAACTTCCTCTCCCTCTGCAGACACTCATCACTGTCAGCTCAAATGTTCCCTCTTCCAGGAAGTTCCCCTTGACCTCACAGGAGGAGAGAGGCCCCTTCTATAGCGGGCTATTATCCCTCAGTCACAGCACCCAAGTCCCCAAGCTCTTTAGAAGCAAGGCCAGGCTGATCCACTCCATGTCTCGACACCACATACAAGCTTACCCAGCATGTACGTCTCGAAGTGGCTGGTGGGCTAGGCATGGGGAGGGGGAGGAATGGGACCCAGGAGCCCCAAGGGCACAGGATGGTGACAGCAGATGGTCACTGAGTCAGACAGAGCATGCCATGAGCAGTGGTACCCCCCAATCCACAGGAAAGAAGGGGCTTTTCTCCTGCGAGAGGGCCAGCCCTACCCTACTGCTTGCCCCACTCAACCTCCAACTCCAAGGGGCACCAGTCCTGGGCCAGCCCCTCGCTCTGTCCAAGTCTCAGTCTCTCCTTCTGTGAAACAGGGCTGCCACCATGACCACACAGAGTGGCTAGGAGGAGTGGACATGCCACATGGCCCCCCAAAGGCTCTGCACGTGTCTCCTGCTGACAGGGCCCACAATGAATGCCTGGGCCTTTTGGCCTGGAGCTGCCTCTGCTGTGGGGCTTCACATGGACACCCCAGCAGACCTTCACATGCTGTCCACAGGTCTGGTTACCCGTAGGGTCCGGCATAGCTGGAGGAAGCCCAGTCCAGCAGGATGCCTGGGCTCTGCATCCCAGGGGGCAGTCCAGGCTGGAGGCGACATGGAAGAGGCTGGGCTTGGGAGAGACTGCAGGGGCCAAGGGGGCCTGGGAGCTCACTCTCCAGTTGGTCCCAACGCACACTCTGTCTCTTGCCTTTCTTGAATTGGTCCTCAGAATCAAGGCCTGGGCGGAATGATGGGTGGGGGAGCAGTGAGGGGCAAGAAGACAGGTACTCATATGGCCCCAGATCCTGGGGCATGGGCAGTGGGGACTGGGGGCAGACACCAAGGCTGATCAAAGAATGCCACAGAGTGGGGTTCTCACCCAGTCACAGCTTTGTATTTAAAATCCTGCTTTAAGTTAGCAGTTTTTAAAATCTTAAATAAATGTACTTAAATTTTACTCAATTAAAATTCTACTTAAATGAATTAAATTTTACTTAAATACATTTATTTAAATGTATTCGCCTCATTCTCTATGTAAACAAAGTTGCTGTAAGTAAGGATATATCTCTTGCCATTAGTTGAGATAACCACAAAAATAAACAGAATGAAACTAAAGTAATAGTCACCTCTAGCTAAATGCACTGCCTGCTGATGGCATAGCCCAAGGCTGCTCTCTCGCCATGACAAGGGGGACAGGTGAACCCTAGGTGCTGGGCATAGCAAATTCTTCAGAGAGAATGAAGAAATGTGACAAACGTCCAGATTTCCTGATGGGTGATTCCATCATTTTTCTGCCCCGTGTCCCACCTTGCCCACCCTAGAGGCAGGCCTCACTGGGGATGATGAGAGACACTGGGCCAGGGCCAGCCCCACTGTCACAGGTGACCTCCAGGCACTCAGGGTGCATCGTTTTGTGTCTCTGTGTCCCTGGCAGAAATTTCTGGAGCTGGCCAAGCAAGTAGGAGAGTTCATCACATGGAAACAAGTGGAGTGTCCCTTCGAGCAAGACCCCAGCATCACCCACTACCTGCACACTGCTCCCATCTTCAGCGAGGATGGTAAGGTGGCCCCATGGCCTCCCTGACCCCCAGCCACAGAACTCGTGGGTGGTCTCTTGGTCACATCACCATTCAGGGCCCCTGCTCTGAGCAGGGATGTACCACGCCCATGTGTGCTAGGTCTGCAAGGAAGCAGGGAAGTCTGCATCCCCCAACTGAATAGTTGCTACCCCCAGAGCACAGGACAGGGCCTGGCTGCAGGTTGGGCCCCCAAGGCCAGGCTTCCCCCAGGCACAGTTTGGATGCCATTGGACATTGTAAATCTGAACGATGTCTGACCCTAATTTCCTCATCAGGAAAGTGGGCATGATGATAAAAATAGCCCTTCCAGGGCTCATGTGGGGGTGGCAAAGTACTAGGCTGACCATGGGTCTTTCCACACCTGGTGTGTGCATGCGCATGTTTGCGTGTGTGAGTGTGTACCTGTGTATGTGTGTGTGTTCATGTGTAATACACACCAGCATGAAACGAGGCATCCTTTCTCCAGAGCACTGTTGATGTCTGTCCCCTTAAATAGTCAGTATTTCCATCCGATCATTTGTCAGACACAACAGATTTGCTTATGAATTTGCTAAATGAGTATACTCCTGGAGCTCCCTCCTCCAGAAGAGAAAGTGCTGGAGAAGCAAACAGTCATCTGGCTGAGTTGATGGACCCTGTGGGGAGCAGAGTGGCCCCATGGTTAGCTGCTCTCTGGATGCAGGATGCCCTGGTACCACCCTGGGAGAACCCTGCTCAGCACACAGGAGGCCTGGCTCCTTGTCATGGCAGGCATTTTACACAGGGACCCACACCCATGCCCAGGAAAACATTTTCTGCCAAAAATAAAAAATTAGGAGGAAGGACTTTTTAATGACTTGCTTCTGAATCGTTAATACTTTCAATTTTGCCATTTTATTTTTTATATTTTAGAGCCAGTAATTTTGGGGGGTCTCATCCATATCTGGAGTCTCCCCTACTCCACATACATGAGAAGCTCAGCAGCCTGATGGATAAACCAGCCTGGCTGCTCCCACCCCAGAAGCTGTGTTACCCTGGGCAGCTTTCTCACCCTCTCTAAGCCTCACCTACTGCATCTCTAAAGGGTAGGTAATGAGGTAATGAGAGAAACTACTTCCCAGGGCCATGGTGAGAATTAATTGACGTGACACAAGCAAAGCCCACAGGACTGCACTCAATCAATACTAGTTGTATTAGTTTCTACTGGTGCTGTGGCAAATCACCACAAATTTAGTGCCTCAGAACAACATAAATTTAGCCTCTTATGATTACAGAAGTTAGCAAGTCTGAAATCAGTTACACTGGGCTAAAATAGAGGTGTTGGCAGAGCTGGTTATTTCTGGAGGCTCTGGTGGGAGAATCCATTTCTTGGCCTTTTATGACTTCTAATGGCTGCCTGAATTCCTTGGCTTGTAGCCCCTTCTTCCATCTTCAAAGTACATTACTCCAGCCTCTGCTTCCATCATCATATTGCCTTCTGTAGTCATCTCCCCCTTTCTCTCTTATAAGGACACCTGTGATTGCATTTAGGGCCCACCCAGATAATCTCCTCATCTCCAGATCCTTAATTAAATCACATCTGCGAAGTCCCAAAAGGGCATATTCAGGGGATTAGGACCTAAATATCTCTGGGACCCATTATTCAACCTACTACACTAGTTATTATGATGACTGTTGTCATTACCCAGTGGAACTTGGGCAATAAAATGTGTCAAAGGCACATTAGGAGAGAGGTCGGGAGAGTCTAGAGGCAGGAAGGGCAGAGGTGGGGTGGGGGCATTTCATTCATTCCTTCAGTCAACAATACTTCTAGAGAGTCTGCTGTGTGCCAGTCAGACAGACAGCTATGAATTTGCAAATAAAATCCCGGCCCTTCTGGAATACCCTTAGAGAGAAGCACCTTCCCTTTTGATCTTCTCTTCTTCCTATCCTTCCCTCTACCTCCCCAAAAGAGCTGAGAAATTCAAGAGAAGGGACTTAAGATGTATTGGGCCCCAACTGGGATGGTAAAAGCCTCTGACAAAAGCCTGGCCCTGCCCTCAGCTCCATCAGACCTCCCCTGACAGGGCATGCTGGCAATCCAGTCAGTCTCAGGCTCCCTGAAACAAGTGAAAATATAGAAAATCTCAGCAGAGAAACAGGAGATATAAGGAAGAACCAAATGGAAATTTTAGAACTGAAAAGTGCAATAACTAAAATAAAAAACTGAACAGATGGGTTCAACAGCATAATGGAGAGGACAGAGGAAAGAATCAGTGAGCTGGAAGATAAAACAATAGAAATTTTACAATCTGAACAACAGAGAAAAATATAGACTGTACCAGAGCCCCAGGGACCAGTGGGACTATAACAAAAGATCTAACACTCATATCATCAGAGTCTGGGAAGGAGAGAACAAATTGGGTATGGTTGAAGAGTACTTGAAGAAGTAATGCCTGGAAATTTCCCAAATGTGGAAAAGACATAAACCTACAGATTCAAGGAACTGAGTGAATCCCAAACAGGATAAACCCAAAGAAACCCATACCAAGACTCATCATAGTCAAATTTCTGGCAACTAAAGAAAAAGAAACAAATCTTGAAAGCACTGAGAGAGAAATGATACTTTACCTATAGGAGAAAAACAATTCAAATGACATCAGGTTCCCCATCAGAAACCATAGCCAGAGGCAGTGGCACATTTTTCAAGTGCTGAAAGAAAACAACTGCCAACCCATAATTCTATATCCAGTGAAAATATCCTTTAGGAATTTACTGTAGATAAGTCAAAATGGAATTCTAAAAACTGTTCAGGTAACCCACAGAAAGAGAAGAAAAACAAAACACAGAACAAATAGAAAATAATAAATAAATAGGCAGACTTAAGCTCTAACATATCAATACTTATATTGAATGTAAGTGGTCCAAATACAACAAGTAAAAGACAGAGGCTGGCAGAATAAATTAAAAATATGACCCAACTATATGCTGCCTACATGAAACTCATTTCAAATATAATGATGTAGACAGGTTAAAAAGTAAAAGGATGGGGACACATTAATCAAAAGAAAGCAGAAATGGCAATAATAATATCAGATAAAGTATACTTCAGAGGAAAGAAAATTTCCAGAGGCAGAGAGGGACATTATGTAATGACAAAATTGTCAGTCTCCCAAGAAGATATAGCAATCCTAAATGTGTATCTACCAAACAACAGAGTTGCAATATTTATGAAGCAAAACCCAATAGAACTGAAAGGAGAAATAAATAGATCCACAATTATAGTTTGGAGATTTCAACACCCTCTCTTAACAATTAATATAACAACTAGACAGAAAATCAGCAAAGACATAGCAGAACTCACCAATACCATCAAACAATAGGATCTAATAGACATTTATAGAACATTCCATACAACTACAGCAGAATACACATTTTTTTCATTTGCCCACGAACATATACCAAGATAGACCATATCCTAAGTGCAACAAAATTAAAGTAATTGAAATCATACAGCATGTGTTCACAGCATGTGATCACAGTGGAATCAAGCTAGAAATCAATAACATAAGATAACTGGAAAATGTCCAAACACTTATAATCTAAACAACACAATTCTAAATAATCCATGAGTTAAGAAGTCTCAAGGAAATTTTTTTAAAAATTGAACTAAATGAAAATGCTATCAAAATTTGCAGGGTGCAGCTAAAGCAGGGATGAGAGGGAATCTTACAGCATGTAACACATACATTAGAAAAAAAAGGAAACACCTCAAATCAATCATCTAAGTTCCCACCCCCAGAATCTAGAAAAAGAGGAGCAAAATAAACCAAAAGTCAGCAGAAGGAAGGAAATAAGAGCACAAGAGAACAGAAATCAATGAAACAGAAAACAGAACAATTTTTAAAAGTTAATTGAAGAGCTGGTTCTTTGAAAAGCACAATAAAATTTCCATCCTCTAGCAAAGAACTTCTTGACAAAGAAAAAGAGAGAGAAGACAGAAACTACTAGTATCGGGAATGAAATAGGGTATCACTACAGACTCTGCCAACATCAAAAGACTTGTAAGAAAATACTATGAACAACTCTATGCATATAAATTTAACAATTTAGATGAAATGGACCAATTCTTCAAAAAACACAAACTGCCACAACTCAACATAAAATAGATAATTTGAATAACCCTATAGCTAATAGGGAAATTGAAATTTTCATTTAAAAACATGCCAAAATGAAATGTCTGAGCCCAGATAGTTACACTAGAGAATTCTACCAAATATTTAATGAAGTAACACCAACTCTGCACAATCTCCTTCAGAAAAAAGAAGAGGAGGGAACGTCCCAGTTTATTTTATGAAGCTAGTATTATCATGATATGAAAACTGGACAAAGACAGTACAGATAATACACTCTACCCAGATTAATCCCTCATGAATATAGATGCAAAAAATCCCTAAGAAAATATTAGCAAGTATAATTCAGCAAAATATAAAGATAATCATATATCATGACCGAGTGGCCTTATTCCAGAAATGCAAGGCTATTCAATATTTGAAAATCAGCCAATATAATCCACCATATTAACAGGCCAAAGAACAAAAAAAAACTAGATTGTGTCAATCAGTGGAGAAAAAGCATTTGACAAATTTCAACACCCGTGCATGGTAAAAACTCTCAGAAAAATAAGAATAGAAGGGAATTTACCAACTTGATAAATTGCATCTACAAAAACCCTTCAGCTAACATCATATTTAATGGTGAAAGATGGAATGCTTTCCCACTAAGATTGGTAACAACTCAAGGATGTCTACTCTCACAACTCCTATTCAACATTGGTGGAAGACCTAGTCAGTGCAATAAGGCAAGAAAAGGAATAAAAGACATACATATCAGAAAGGAATTAACACTGCCCCTATTTGCAGAAGATGTAAAAAATCCCAAGGGATCCATAAAAACTCCTAGAACAAAATGAGTTCAGCAGGCATCACAGAATACAAAATAAACAAGCAAAAATCATTTTATTTCCATGTACTCACAATGAATATGAGTTCACTGAAATTAAATATACAATACCATTTACAATCAATCAAAAAAGAAATGCTTAGGTATAAATCTAACACAACATGTATAGAATTTGTATGCTAAAAACTACACAATGCTGATGAAAGAAATCAAAGATCTAAATAAATGGAGAGACACGAATTCATAAATTGGAAGACTCCAACATAGCAAAGATATCAGTTCTCCTTTCCAAATTTCAGGACAGATTTAATGCAATTCTTATCAAAATTCCAGGAAGATTTTTTATAGATACAGACAAGATTATTCTAAAGTTTATATGAAAATGCAAAGGGACAAAAATAGCTGAAACAATTTTGAAAAAGAAGAATGAAACAGGAGGAATCACTCTACCCAATATTAAGGCCAATATAGCTTGAATAGCTACAGTATTCAAGACAGTGTGGTGTTTGCAGGACAGACACATAGATCAATGTAACAGAATAGAGGACCCATAAAGAGACCCACAGTGATTCTTGACAAAGGTGCAAAAGCAATTCAGTGGAGGAAAGATAGTCTTTGCAACAAATGGTGCAGGTGCATTTGGACATCCATAGGGCAAAAAATGAACTTCAACCTAAGTCTCACACTTTATGCAAAAATTAAATCAAAATGGATCACAGGCTTGAATGTAAAATGTAAAACTATAAAACTTTTAGAAAAAAAAAGCAAGAGAAAATCTTCAGGATGTAGAACCAGACAAAGAGTTTCTTATAAAACTAAATATGCAACTACTATGTGACTCAGCAATTACACTCTTGGGCATATATTTATTCCAGAGAAATGAATTTACAAGTTTGCACAAAAACTCATACACCAATGTTTACAGAAGCTTAATTTGTCACAGCCAAACACTGGAAACCATACAGATGTCCTTCAGTGGGTGAATGGTTAAACAAAGTATGGTATGGAATACTATTCAGCAACAAAATGGAATGAACCACACTGATACACACTACAGCATGGATGAATCTCTAGAGAATTACAGTGTGAAAAGAGTCAATCCCAAAAGGTTACATACTGTGTGATTCCATTTATATCACATTCTTGAAATGACAAAATGTAGACACAGGGAACAGATTAGTAGTGGCCAGGGGTTAAGAGAGGTGTGGGGATGGGAGGGAAGTGTGTGTGGCTATAAAAGGGTAGCATGAGGGATCCTTGTGGTGATGGAATGTTCTATATCTTGACTGTGTCGGCGCCAAAATCCTGGTGATGATCCTGTCCTATAGTCTAGCAAGTGGTTACCATTGGGGGAAACTGGGTAAAAGATACACGGATCTCCCTGTATTATTTCTTACAATTGCTTGTGAATCTACAGTTACCTCCCAACAACAATTTAATTTAAAAACAAAAAGCAGGTGAGACTCTGGGTGTAGAAGAGGTTATTGTCATGGCTCATAAATGCATAATATCACTTCATTTTCTGAATAGGTCTTTATTTGGCTTCTTATGAAAGCGAGAGTCCAGAGAACCAAACAGAAAAAGAGAGGTGGAAATCTCTAAGGTGAGTCTCTGTGCCAAGACAAGTGTGGGAGGCAGGTGGAGGGAGCAGGTGGGGCGCTTGGGGCCAAGACAGAGTGGAGGGACTTCATCTACACTCGGTTGTCAGCCTCCTGGGAGCCCCTCCGTGGGGAGGGGGCAGGTCAGACCAGGGTCTTAGAGGTGGAGGAGGAACTTAAGCGCTGGGGTAGGGAGAAGAGGCTGGAACCACGATCCCCCACGACTGGAGGCTGCCCCGTGGGCAGTTGAGATGTGTGCCCCAGGGCCTGGAACCCCAGTCCATACTCTTATGCCAGAGAGACACACACCACCTCCTGCTTGTTCGGCCTGTTAACACAGCCGAGCGGAGGTTGGAAATGATGCGCAGTGGCGGGCTCCAAGGACTGAGCCAAGAGGATTGCACGTGCCCCTGTGGGGTGGGGAGCTGGACGGGAGTATAACCACGGGCCGGGCCAGCAGGCTCTCACCACCCTCGCTCGGCATGTTTAAATCTGCAGGTCTTCTATTCTGGGGAAGACGTGAAAAGCACTGAGCTGGAGGAGGAGGAGAGGGGGGAGGAGGAGAGGAAGCCAGCAGAAGCCTTCTGCCGCCCTGCCCCAGCCAGCCCAGTGGGAGGAGGAGGCATTGGTGCCTCGCTGCTTTGCAAACCGTGACCCTGTGGCCTGGTGCCCATCACAGTGACCACACAGCACAGGAGACCTTTCTCCACCTTTTGTGGAGCCTCAGCCCTGGAAGGGCCCAGAGCCTCCAAACGCAGGGGTGGCACGTGCCTCAGGGGCCCTACCTTCAGGACAGTGATGCTCACATTGTTGGTCAGTCTGTCTGTCCTCGGCGATGACCCAAGGTGTTGGGTGACTGCAGTGTTGCTCTCAGTGGGTGACTCGTGCCATGGAGACAGACACCCGGTCCATCTCCAGATGGCCTGGGAGCCTCTGTATCTCCAGCAAACATCACCATGACGTGAGAAGGGCCAGAGCCCACCAGTGGCCTCTGCCATTCTACTGATGGACCTGACCCTGCCCCTTGAGATGGGCTGGTTTCTGCAGCCCCGTGCACCCCCTTTCTGCATCCTGCTGGTATCGGGATAGCTTTCTGGTGACCACTATAATGCTGGTCAGCAGGACAAATTTGAGTCACAGACTTGACAGTGTGTACAGTACATTGTAAATTTTAGAGTTGGTATAAACACATTGGTATACCCTGCGTATCCACATCCACTTCATGTCTCTCACCCGTGGGCTTCTGCCAGGATGCAGGGCAGTTTCCCAGCTCAGGCCCAGGAATGCTGTGACCACAGCTCAGGAGGGGGACTTGGTGGCTATTTCCACTCCATAAACCCCATGTCCTGCTAAAATGAGCTGGTGTGCAGTAGATGCTAGGTAAGCTCCGGTGAATGGATACTGACAGCCTTGTGTGAGGCCAGACACCTCTCTTGTTTGGGCAAGGAGTGATGAATCCAGGGAGGACCCTCAGCCCACCATGAAGCTCCTCCCCTGGGGCTCTCACCCAGCTCTTCACACACTGAGCCAAGTTTCTGGACCAGGAAGTGGAGGGGCTGTGGAGCTGCTGAGTCCCCACCTGGCAAGTGACCACGTCACCCAGCCAAGAAGTCAGGGAGCGTGATGTACACCCCCATTCCTGGTCAGGGCCCGAGGGCAGAGTGATGTGTTGAAGGTGCACTGATGCATCCTGGCCAGCTCCTGACCATGTCAGGACTCTCAGAGTCTAGGCCCCCTTCAGCTAGGACCTGACACCTCTGTCCTGGCAGTGTGGCCTTGGGTCCCACCTGAGGGACAGGCAAAGCCAGAGCAACCAGCACCCCAGGTGCCTCCCCCAACTCGAGGAATTCTGCCTGATGAACCCAGGACCTCAGCAAGGCCCCAGAAGGGCCCTGCAGCCTGACAGAGGCATGGGAATGCTGCACGTTAGGGTTGAATGGGATCTGCTCTGCACCAGAGCAGCCCACCCCTTTCCATCTGAGACCCTAGAGAGGGTGAGTAGTGGAGTGGGTAGCAGAGCAGGAACTGGGCTTCAGCCAAACCCAGGCTCCCACCCTGCCTCACACCATATCTAGCTCCCACAGGGGTGTGGGTGGGGCCCTGGTGCCAAACCCAAGGAGTCCTGGGGGGTTCCAGGAGCTGACTAGAAGCACCTCCTGATCCCCTCGTCCCTACCCAACACACTCCCTTGGTGTCTGGGGCAACATTAGACAAAACCCCTACAAACATCAGCAGGGACTGTCCCTGCATCCTGGTCACACTGAGTGCTGCCTGTCAGGAGCAGGGGCAAGTGGCACAGAAGGGGTTAGTGGCCTTGGAGACATGTGATGGCTGGTCCAGGGCTGATGCCCATGGAGCTCTGGGAGGCCTGCCTGGGAAGGAGGAGGTTATATCCTTCCCCAGCCACAGGGAGTCAGGACACTCTGGAGGGGGCTCCCAGTCTACCCATGGGCCCTGACCTTGCCGGTCACCTGGCTCCAGCTCCCTGCTCCTGAGCAACTCAGTTCAGGGACCTATGAGGAAACCCCAGAATGCTGAGCTTCAGGAAGCAGCAGGTGAGGTCAAGGGGCTGGGGGCAGCTGGCCACTGTCCCCCCTGCCTCATACAATCCCTCACCCAGGCCCAGGATCCCAGCTCTCTCTCCAAGGCCAGATTCCAAATTCCTCAGCTCAGCCATACCCCTCGCAGTCCTCTCCATCTCATACTGGGAGATTGCGGCAGCCTCCTCCAGGCTGTGGGGAGCATGAAGAAAGGATGCTGGAGAAGTAGTACAGGGCCCGCAGCTGAAACTCTGGAGGTTAGGTGGGAGGCAAGTCAAGCATGTCACTGCTGATAGAGGCCCACCCCCAGGCTTGAGGCTATTTCCTATTTCCTAGTTCTGTGGCCTTGCAATTGCTCTTCCCGCTGCCTGGCATGCTGTTCCTGAGCTTGTTGATCTAGTCGGAGCTGCAACCTCAGCTGTAAGTTCCCCCTTCTGGGCAGAGGTTCCTGACATGCAGCCCCCTCACCCACATCTGCTCCCTCTAGTCTGCAAGCCCCTCAGAGGCCCAGTGCAGAATAGGTGTCAGGTGAGGATGGTGGTGTGAGGCCTGGGCTCATCCCCAGCTGGGAGAGGGTCCAGGGAAGGAGGGAAGGAGGCAGCCCATGGCCAGCCCCACAGAGATCACAGGGCCAAGGGGACTCAAGCTGAGTGTGTTTGTGTCTTAGGTTCATCCCAGGGGCCCTGCTCCCCGCCTCGCTGAGCACCCACTTGGTACCAAGCCCCGGGTGCCCAGGCCAGGAGGAGGCCCTTCTCTCAGTAACTCAGCAGGTGGGGATCTTGGTGCCCTTTCTCCAGGTGCAGCCTCGGAGCCCAGAGAGGGATGGTGCCCTGCTCACAGCCATTTGGATGGTTCCTTAGTCACATCCAGGACTCCAGGCCCTTCCCTGTAGAGGCCCTTTTGTCCTCCTGCCGTCCTGGCCTCAGTCCCTATGGCCACGTCAGATGGCCCACAGGGGATGCAGCAGTTGGAGCCTATTCCTGGGGGGCAGGTGTCAGCCACACAGGTGGTGCCCAAGAGTGAGGCCCGTGAGGCCCAGTTTGGTGCCAGGTGACACAGATCCCTGCCACACAGCAGGTTTGAGGCCGCCCAGCTGAGCCACACAGCAGGCACTTGGGCCTCAGGGCTCTGGGACGACCAACAGCCCCACTGTGCACAGGAGGCCAGGGAAGGGCCATGGCTATGGTCTCTCTTTTTTTGTCTAGCACTTTTTCTCTGAGCCCTCCAGGGAAGGAACAGGGGGGTTAGGACAGGAAGATGTCCCTGTCTGGGGTTTGCCTCAGAGACCCCTGGGGCTGGCTGGGGTTCAGAATCAATTCATCTCATATGCACAATCTGTGGGTCCTCTGAAGCCCCTGCCCCCTACATTGCTTCCCTACCCACTCTAGTTTCTTGGGGCAGGTGTCTCCATTGTGGCCAGTGACCAGTGACTTATCCCGGGAACTCAGCCAGGCTTCTGTGGAGGCCTGTCTATCCACCTGACAGCCCTCCAGGGCAGGACCCCAGACAACCCCAGGATGATTCTCAAACGTGTATCCAAAGTTGTCCCAGAACACCACAGACCCTAACAACTCAGAGACAGACAGCCACCAGTGTGGCCCCTCGTCCTTCAGATACCGCAGGCAGGTATCAGACCTCAGGGCACTTCATCCCCCACGCTGCAGGGCTCATATGAGGTTCCCAAGGAAGGGGCACCCCACCCACAGCACGCCCAAGCAGTGCCCTCCACAGTCTCTAACTCTTGACCACCCCATCCATGAGTCAAGGGAGCAGGGAGCCAGATAACTCAGTCAAGAGCCACAGTCAGGGTGTGCCTCAGCTGGAAGCTCCATTTCACCCCAAAACTGAAGTGCTTCCATCATGGGTGCTGAGCCCCAGATCTGGCACTTTATATACAGCCTGACACATCCCACGACATAGGTGCTATCACCATCCCCCTTGCCAAGTGACAAAACGGAGGCTCAGAAAGGCAAAGCCATTGCCCAAGGGCACCCAGCTTGCAGGGACAGAGCCTGGGCCTACCAGGGTCCATTGTCCAGCAAGGCTCTGCTGCTCAGGGTGCTGAGGAGCCAAGGGGAGCTCCAAATGGCCTCTGGGTCTTCCTACCAGCACAGACACAATGACACACATCTTTCCTCCACTCTTGCCCCTTCCTCTTTGGAGGGTTGCTGAGCCCCCTCGTGCCCCCTGGTGCATCTACTGTCTCATTTATGCTCAAGACAACCTCCCTGCTCCCCTATTGCACACACCCCTCTGTGGGCTCTGCTGGGCACAGCTGTGCCTCTTCCCCAGCAGCAGAAGACAGCAGGCCTCACCCCACGCTCCGCATCATGCTACCCTTTGCCACCGGCATCCATGCTGTAAGGTTCACATCCCAGTACACAGCATCTTCAGTGAAAATGGCTCCATTTTTCACTCTCAGGACTCAGATTGGAGCCCTAGATCCCTGGGCCAGGGAACAGATCCAGAGAGATCTTAAAATACACACACAAGATGCTTCTCAGCACAACCAGGCCCTTGCCCTCAGGCTGAGCAGAGAGCCTGACACTGCCTTAGATATCCAATGCTGGGCCTCCAGGCAAGACCAGAAGAGTAGGAAAATTAACTGGGAATGAACAAACCTGAGGCATAAGCTAGAACCCCCACCAATAGACCTCCACCAAGTGGGCAAGCTGGGGAAAAGATCAGCAGAGAGACGGCGGAGACAGGAATCCAGTGTGTCGGGGGCAGAGAGCAATGGCAGGAAAGACTTGCAGAGGCCATATGGTGAAATACAACCCCCTCACCTGGGGAAGACCAAGGAGCTTGGAGTTTACCCTGGAGCTCTGGGTTGGGGGGACACTGAAGTGTTTTAGGAGGTGATGTAATTGTTAATTTTATGTGTCAACCTGACTGGGCCACAGGGTACCCAGATATTTTGTCAAACATTATTCTGGTGTGTCTGTGAGGGTGTTTCTGGATGAAATTAACATTTGAATCAGTG